ACCACCCCAGTGGGTCATTGGAAAGTTTTTGGACTTACAATGTTAAAGTTCAGGGTTCAGTTATCTTCAGTTGATAAGTGCAAGTAACCCGTTCTGTAGCTTTGTGATAAAAGGTCAAACAGATTCGTGACAACATTAAGTAATACAACAATTTAGACCGCCTATTGTGAAGAGTTCTGGTATTAAATGTATCAGGAACATACATGTTGAAAATAGTCACAAAGCACTGGCTGTTCTGTGATGTTCCACCAGATTGATACCATCAAAACAAAACTTTTTCTAAAATAAATGTAATATCACGTGTCAGATTTATAAACAACTTGTAATGCAGTGATTTTTATTTTACATAACAAAAACCTATAGATCACTCTTCAGCATCTTCCAGTAAAGGACAGCCAGGCTCACTTGGTCAAAAAAACCTGCTTCTTCAGTCCAATACTAGAAAAATTGGAAGAAAACTTGATCTAAAATTAACAAAAGGTAATAACTCTTAAAAAATTTAGTCTTCTGTTAAACAAGCTACAATATATTTCATACAATGTCAGAGTAAAGAGATCACTACAAATAACCTCATGTTTAAAAACTAAAATATTTAAAGTGTAGCAATAATCTTGTGGTTTTTTTTTCTTTAATGGTTTAAACAGAAATAGTTTTACCAAAAGACAATCTTGTTAACAACTTTTTGTCCAATTTTTATTGTTGTAGACTCTGTTATGTGATGTTACTAGCCAATGAAAATTGTCAGAATTGTCTGTTTTTATTTAATTTCTGTTACTTTATCCTTTATTATTAACGTATATTTCAAGCTAACCAAAGAAAATGGCACACAACTGCTTTCAGGTTCTGATGGTTTAGGTTTTAGTATTACTACTCGAGATAATCCTGCTCGTGGCCATTGTCCTGTCTACATCAAGAATATTTTACCTAAAGGAGCTGCAGTACAAGATGGAAGACTGAAGGCAGGAGATAGACTCTTGGAAGTAATGTTTCCGTTGTAGCTCTGAACATGTTTATACTTTAATTAAAAAAAGTAAATAAAAGATAGGCTCTTGGAAGTAATGTTTCCGTTGTAGCTCTGAACATGTTTATACTTTAATTAAAAAAAGTAAATAAAAGATAGGCTCTTGGAAGTAATGTTTCCGTTGTAGCTCTGAACATGTTTATACTTTAATTAAAAAAAGTAAATAAAAGATAGGCTCTTGGAAGTAATGTTTCCGTTGTAGCTCTGAACATGTTTATACTTTAATT